GTGCCGTACCGTTGCCGGGCGGCAGCTGGGAATTTTGCTCGTCGGAGCTCACTGAGCCCTGAAGCACCGAGGGTGGCAGGGTTATCAGTGACTCTCCGTGAGGGCACTGAGGAGGATCGGGCACCGTATACTGAGGTGTTATCCTTTCCTCCCCAGGTGGGGCTGCCCTCAGGGGCCTGACGATGTTGGCGTCAGGACCGCTTAGTCGAGGTCCTCTTCGACAAAATAACGGTCCGCAGATCCGTCTTCGGTCTAGAAGACCCCAACTGAGAGCGTCGCCCCGACCCCCGTTCGTTTTGCGAAGGGGTGCGGGTTGCAACACTCTGTCTTTGTGAGTGGCGGTATGAGGAGCTTGACGGCTGGGGCTATTCCCGCTCAGCAGCCCCATGGGCCTGGGAGCGACGAGGGAGGAACCGTTGAAACGCCGCCGCTTGCTTTCTCGCCTCCTGGAACCTCTTGACGAGTGTTAACTGCGTCGCCGAAAAGGCCAGAGGGCGAAAGCGGGGCGTCTAGGAGGAAGAATCTGTCCTTATCTTGCATATCGGACAGATTCAACCACAGATGCCGCTCCGTGGCCACCATTGCTGCCATTGAACGGCCGATAGCTCTGGCCTGTGGCCCGACGCAGTTCAGCTACTACGTCGGATTCCCCCTCCCCCCTGTCATCCAGGTCCTTGAGCAGGTAAGCCTGGTACGCTTGTAACACCACCATGGTGTGCAAGCATGCGCCAGCCTGACCTGCCGCCGTATAAGCTTTCCCAACCAGACTAAATGTAAGCTTAACAGGCCTGGTGGGAAGCTTCGGGGCCTTCAGGGATGATGCTGACGTTTTTTCCCACGATCTTGACACCTCGGCATGGAGATCGGGAAAAAACGTAAGGCCCCGTCGTGAAGGCTGTGACCTCGCCCTCAGGAAAAGCTCGTCTAATTTGCTCTTAGTACGAGCGTCCTGTTTCTCGGCTGGCCAATCGATACTTAATTTGGCTACAGCACTAGTCACAACCTCCACGAGCTGCTCATACGTGAGGGACTGCGGTGGTGAGTCCACAGTCTCCTCTGTCTCGACACTCATCACCTCTACCTCCTCGGAGGAAGACAGATGAAGTGCCTGGCTCTCTCTCCGGGGGAAAGAAACCGCAGCGCGGGCTTCCGCACCCTGAGATAGAGCCGCGGATCTAGCAGGTGAGGACCGAGAAAAGGCCGAGCCCGTCTCGGATCCCTCCGCTAAATCCACTTGCGATCCCCATGACAACAGTCTGCGCTGTGCCTCGGCAACAGCGGGACCGCTGCCAGCGGGATCGCGAGCCTGGCCGCTCTCATGAAACACGGCCAGGCGAGAGCGGAGCATGCGCAGCCCAAAGCGATCTCGACGCAGCTCGAGTTCCTGAAGGGGAACCCAAGTTTGAATGTGGAATCTTCCGTGCCAGGGTCCATTTCGGCTGGAGAGGAATTAAATGAACATAGGGAAATCGACGAAGAAGCCATCGAATTCATGCATCCAAGAACTGAGTTAAGGAGGTCTGTTCGGACAAAAGAGAAACCCAAAATCTTGACTTACCCCAAATTGGGAAACCCTTTGATAACCATAGTTCAGTCCCTTCTTCAGGGCCTGAATGAAGCCTTTTCAGAGTCCTTGCAAGATTGTTCCCATATGAGTTGTCCTGCATCACAAGAGTATGCAGCTACTGGCAACATGCAAAGGGACTTGCATGGTTCTAAGGGGGGAGGGTGTAACCCAGGCTCAAAGACATTTGTAGTCTGAGTCAATTATGAATACAGTTAAGCTAAATAACTAAGTAATGTAAAAGGAAATAATAGGATAAAAGATTAAATGTATATATATGTCCAATTAGATATGGGTTACTTACAATGTAAGATGGGAAGTAAATAATCACATGTAAAACTTTAATTTTAATTTGAGCTCTAGGTCTGTGCTGCGCAGGTGAGCAGCCAATCGAGTGTAATTAGGTCAAGCTGACTCCGCCCTTAGGGAAGCTGCGCGTGAGAGAAAACACGAGAAGAGAAGTACGAGTTAGAAGCTGCGTGAAATCTTGATTTATTAGATTTAATTGAAGTACGCCTGCGAAGAACAAACTATGTAAGTTATTTTGCAGATATTTTGTTGATAAATAAGTTTGAAAGAACTTACTTATATCCTGTTGATCCGTATGACCGTCGCCGCGTTGAAATCCAGTAGGCCATCATTGCGTCATCGGAAACCTGAAAAAAACAAGAAATATAATTAATACACAAGGGAATCGGTGAGTTAAAAATGTCTATTTAGTATGCATGTTGGAATATAGTGACTCAATGGTGTATTGATGTGTTTGGAAGGGAAAAATGTTCAGTGAATGTATACATTGTCATAAGAAAAATGTGTACAGAGTGGTAAATATGTGTATATGTTGAGTGAAATGTATGTGAAGTGTGGATTGATTGAGGATTTCATTCTGTGTGTGTGCACAGGCCAGTTTTGTTATCTTAGAATCTGGATCCTTCAATTTGTGGACTGCACTGATATCAACACTTCAGTTGTGCACCGTGTGAAGATGGTGAGCCAACCGTAAATCGACCAGAAACATCTATCTTTTGTCTCCGTGGACATCTGTATCACTAAGCCTCCAACAAAATATTTCATTGGATTCTTGAAGGTTTGGAGTATCTAATATTTTCTTTTCAAGCACTGGATCACTGATTATAAGAAACTGAGGACGGAGAATACCATTCATTATTATTTAGACTGACATTTTCTTTTGAACTGTGCATTCTAAGAGTTACGATACTACATTGATACGCATTCATGCAGTTTTATTTTGTACAAATAAGTGTTTACAGTGGGAATTTGTATGTGTGACTCCATATAAGTACTGACATTTGGGTTTATTACTTTATATTTGCTGATCTCGAGTATATATTTGAGTTGTGTATATAAGAATAAGAGAAAGAGGGTATCAGACCTGCAATAGAATATTTGAGTACAATTTAAGTTATTTTGGAGGAAAGAATTTCCTGTGTTTAAGGTTTTAATTTCAATTCATTTTGGTTATTTTATTTGGTTGGAAGTCAGATTTTAAAGCTGATTGATACATTTATTTCAGTTTGCATTTCTTTTGGTTTATTTACTTGTTTTTGCCTTTATGTAGTGTCATCGACATATTCAACCACATATCCTGTCAATTCCCCTAAAAATCATTCTACCCTATATAAATAAGCGTATTAACAATATGTGTGTGTGTGCCTTGCCTCTTACGAATTCTTGCGTCTTCTGATTAGATTCTGATTGACTTACAGTGTACCTGCAATAATCATTTAAGCCCTAGTGGGTTATTGTTTATTCCCTTTGTGAGTTAACCCCTCTGCTTAAATCACCTAACGGGGGTTACAAGCACTTTTGGAAATATGCCATTAATTTGTGCGATGAGACACTAGACATGTCAGTCTTCAAGAAACAAACAAACAAACAAAAACTTCTAGACTTCTACAAATGTTTTATTCTACATTTATGAAGAGGTACCAATCGTCTTTCATTAGTACTGTCATGTTGAGATCACATGACCTCAACATGACAGTATGTCGCTTTATGTAGGACTGCTAGATTTAAATATTATTTGATACCAGCTGCCATCGGTCTTTTAAATTCCAAATAATTGTATGCATATTGTTTATGGAAGTCTTTGATTTTGTATGTGTGTTGTGGTGGTGGGTGATTGTTTTCTTGATTGTATGGTTTACTGCTGCTGGCTGTGAATTAAATTGCCCTCTGGGGATAATAAAGTTGACCTTGACCAGCCATGTCATGCATTTTACTTATGCTAATGTTAATTAGAGATGGGCAGTATTGTACATTTTTGAGTACAGTTGCTGACACGATTCTGTCAATGTAAGCTGTGACGTTGAATCTCTAGCACCTCAAAAAAAGCCATATTGTCCTGATTTGTGAATGTAAATTTGCAGTCTGAATTTGATGAGATAAAAACACTGCACACATCCTGTCCTAACAAAAACAATCAAGTGTATTCTGGTTCACAAATGAATAATTTAAGCAGCTTCTTTTAATGATTCAGTTTGACCAATTTTTCACTGAATTAACTCATTATTGTATTTGTGGGGCTTTACATTAAGTGCAAATAGCGCACTTGTTGGCAAGCGCTAGTTACATTAGCTCCACCCACCAATGTCTGGTTAAAACAAGATTTAAAAAAGACGCATTTCGTTCATTTGACGCAATCGACCCGGGTTCGAATCCGCACTTTGCCGAGCTATATATTACTTACACTCTGTAGGTCTCATTCATGAAACACAATCAGAATAACTTTTTGTGTTAATCGTTCATAAAGTCATTGTGGCTGTCAGGATCATTGACCTGTTTTCTTGTGTTTTTGCCCCTCTCTTTGTTCCTGGTTTTCCTTACATGATCTTTTTCCTGTCCTCGTTTAGGTTAATTATGATTCCTGGCACCTGTGTTTGTTAATTATCCCCAGTATTTAAGTCCTTGCTTTTGCGTTCTGTGTTTGTCGGTTCTACTCGTTATTGTTTGTGTGTTTCCTGCCATTTCCAGTGTGGATGTACCTTGTGTTCCATTGATTAAAGACCGTTTTCGTTTATTTGTGCCTCCTGCGTGCTTCCTAAACAGCGAACTGTGACAGAAGAACCGACCAAAACCGTTACCTCCATGCCTACCCTCTGTTTTTGTTTTTCGTTTTGTACAGTATTTTTTGTTTCCGTAGTTCCCCTTCACCCGCCCGGAATTCCTCCTTCTCCTGCTGGAGCAGGGGGACAGATCTCTCGAGGACCATACAAGACTGTTCCGGCTGTTAGCTAGCACCACCAGCTACCTAGGAGTATGGTCCTCGAGAGGATTTCGTCGCCTTCGTGGAGTGGGCTCTGGCGAGAAACGGATCACCATCCACCACCTGCCCCGTGGATGATCTCGTCAGATCCACTCCAGACCCAGTGCCCAGCCCACCATCTCCCCACGGTGCGGAGCATCAGCCCGAGCCCACCGATGACAGAGAGCCAATTCCAGCCGCGATCGACGAGCCAGCGCCAAGCCGAGTGACTGAGCGGAGGATTGCCCCGGATGTGGAGCTCAACCCGTCAGACCAGGTGCGAGAGCCGGCGACAATTCCCACCACGAGTGAGAAAGCCGCGGACGGTGTGAGCATGGAGAGGAGCTCTGCCCCCTGCACCGTGGCTGAGGCTGAGCTGGCGAATGGTGCAGCGAATGTGCCACACCGAAGAGGAGAGAGCTCCAGTCCCCAAATCCAGTCCAGAGTGCCCTACAGTGCCCGCTCCTAGAAAGAACCCTCCAGTGCCCGCTCCTCGAAAGTGCCCTCAAATGTCCGCTCCTCCTCCCTGGCTCCTCCCTCCATCATCTCCTACCTGTACTCTGTCTGCCGGCCCCCTCCCGGACATCCATCCTCCTCCTGAGCCTCCACCTTAATTCCCACCCATTTCCCCCCCTCTGTTGTTCTACGGTGCGAGAACGCACCTTCCGATATGTCAGGATCATGGACCTGTTTTGTTGTGTTTTTGCCCCTGTCTTTGTTCCTGGTTTTCCTTATATGGTCTTTTTCCTGTCCTCGTTTAGGTTAATTATGATTCCTGGCACCTGTGTTTGTTAATTATCCCCAGTATTGAAGTCCTTGCCTTTGCATTCTGTGTTTGTTGGTTCTATTCGTTATGTTTGTGTGTTTCTTGCCATTTCCAGTGTGGATGTACCCTGTGTTCCATTGATTCAATTGTTCTATTAATTCGTCATTGTCATTAGGACATGTCCCCAAAACCTTCAAACTGGCTGTTATTAAGCCTCTCATCAAAAAACCACAACTTGACCCCAAAGAAGTAGTTAATTATAGACCGATCTCGAATCTCCCTTTTCTGTCCATGATACTAGAAAAGGTAATATCCTCACAATTATATTCCTTCTTAGAGAAAAATAGTATCTGTGAGGATTTCCAGTCAGGATTTAGACCGTATCATAGTACTGAGACTGCTCTCATTAGAGTTACAAATGACCTGCTCTTATCATCTGATCGTGGTTGTATCTCTCTATTAGTGCTACTGGAGCTTAGCGCTGCGTTCGTCACTATCGACCACAACATTCTTTTGGACCGAAAAACTCTGCATGTAATAACCTAGAACACTCTCTAAGACTCGATGGCTGCTCTGTCAATTCTTCGTCATCAGTTAGGAACCTAGGTGTGCTATTTGATAGCAATCTTTC